AAAATGACATAGTGCTATTTTTCTGGTAAGACCTTCGTTATGATTTTACAATTTTTTATTATTTTTCTGAACATGCATCGAGGCTCGGGTTGGAGCAAAGTGTCAAGGCTGATTTAACCATGATTTTAGCACAAAATACCTTAATGTTAACTTTATTAGTACGACCTTCATTATGGTTTTAGAATTTTTTCCTAAACATAAATCGAGGCTAAGATTGGAACGACGTGTCAAAACTGGTTTTAACCACGATTGAACTATGATTTTAGCACAAAATACTCTAATGCTAACTTTTCCGATAATAATTTTAATAAAACTCTAAAACATTGCCAACTCTCATCATGAATGAATTATCAGAAGAAATAATAATTAGCAACCCACCAATAAAAAGTGGCTGAGAGAAAAACAATAATAACCTACATGTCAAATTAGTATAACCCTTATGTAACAATACCAAGTTCTAACTTTAATATTATTCATGGATTATTATTATTATTATTATTATTATTATTATTTTGCAAGGTTTACTCATATCCATCAATACGTGAATTCCCCGCTTTATCTGGATCCGAAGGGATTGGATACCTACTGACGTGGGTTTATTTGCATCCCTAGTTAGCATGCAATCTCAGGGACCGGTTATTATGACAACACCCCTTGTGTTGTTATAGTGACAACACTAGTCTTCCACCAATAGGAAGGTAGGGATGTGATGACTTTTTATTAGTTGAGTTGTCATTATGAAAATATGTTTAAATAATTGTCATTATGAAAATATATTTAAATAATAAAAATTTTAAAAAATTAAAAAAGTTCTGCCCAAAAATTTGGTCGCCGGAATTTTGTCACTGGTCGCCGGAAACTGGTCGACGGTCACCGGAATACTTTTTGTCGCCGGAATATGCTATTTGTCGCCGGAATATGCTTACCGGCGTCGGAATCTAGTCATCGGGGCCGGAATATGCCTATCGGCGTCGGGATCTGCTCACTGACAGTCACCGGAGTTTGGTCAACGATTTTCGTTGACCGGTGACCACCGGATGTATGGTCTGCATTGTGAGATTTATGGTTTGGTTTCTCATATTTTTTTAAGCTTTTTGTAATTTGCTTTATTGTGTTTGTGGTTTGCATTAGGAAGTTTCTGGTTTTCTTTTGAAAATTTTGTGGTTTGCATTGTGAGGTTTCTGGTTTGTTTTAATATATTTGTGGTTTACATTAGGACGTTTATGGTTTGCTTTTGTGTGGTTTGATTTACTGTGTTTGTGGTTTGCATTAGGAGGTTTCTGGTGTGCTTTCGCAAATGTTGTGGTTTGCTTTGTGAGGTTTGTGGTTTGTTTTAGGAGATTTGTGGTTTGCATTAGGAGGTTTCTGGTTTGCATTACGAAGTTTCTGGTGTGATTTCAAAATTTTTGTGGTTTGCTTTGCGAGGTTTCTGGTTTGTTTTGATATATTTGTGGCGTACACTAGAACGTTTTTGGTTTGTTTTACCGTGTTTGTGGTTTGTATTAGGGGGTTTCTGGTGTGCTTTAGAAATATTTCTGGTTTGTTTTACCGTGTTTCTGGTATGTTTTAGACAATTTATAGTCTGCATTAGGAGGTTTCTAGTATGCTTTCGAGATAATTGTGGTATGCTTTGTGAGGTTTGTTATTCTATCCGACATTTCTAATAGATGAATGGAATTAGTAACAATAATTATTGATGTGTATACTTACCAGGTTTGTATACATAATTACATAGTTCTCTCTTAATTAATTATGTTTTTACACATAATCAATTCCTGTCTCTCTAATTCATTTTAAAATAACTAGTTCGCAAGGGAGAATGGAATCAGCTGCAGGGAAATCGATGATGAAGGGAGAGGTGTCCTTTCGAGTGAACTTTTGCACGATCAATTTTAACCTGCAGCTCCACATTGTTCCCTGTCACGGACCCATCAACAATGGCAAACTCGCCTCCAACTTCCTTACTAATCTTCGCATTGCTCTGCGTAAAACCTTTCCACCTATCTTCATCCATCAGTATGTTAATCACTCGGAAATTTGAACCTTAACTTGGACGAGGTGAAGCGATAGAAAGACTTGAGATTATGTATCCATCATTTTCCATTTCGGCAAACACCAGAAAATATAAACGCGGAGAGATGCGAGGCAGGCGGGTATTTTTCTTTCTTTTGAGACGATAGATAGAGAACATACCAAGAGCAGAAATTTAGGCACATTCAACGTCGGTGGTCTGTCGAGCAACAAGGAACTGAGGAAGAAGACAAAACAAAAAGAACATCAAAGTTCTTAAAGTGCTTCTCTTTTCCATCAGACAAATCGAAAACCGACCAAGAGGAGATTGAGACCACAGTAGTGCGCGACGGAGCTTGGAGAGGAGGTTGCGGGACCACTCGAGATGCTTCTCTCAAGTCCAACTTCTCTCAAGTTGTGGATCCCAGGGGATGGGATCCTTGGAATTTTTCAAACCAGTAAGCCTTCTTTCCTCGTTTCTTTTTTTGCTCGATCCTTCCTTGTAAAGCAACTGCTCTATTAATCTGTATATATATGTGGGTAAAATGAACAGGAAGGGAGTGATCTATGCTGAGTATGGGAATTTCGGACCCGGAGCAGACACATCAAACAAGGTGAGCTGGGAGAAGAAGCTGTCAGTGGATGTGTGGGAGAAGATGACCAGTATGTCTTTCATCAATGAGGATGGATGGCTAGAAAGGCAACCCTACTAAGACGCTTGTTAATTTGAAGCATCTTGAGCTCCGTCGCTGCTGGTGGTCGCGATGCCGTCGACGGAGAAAGAATGGCGGAGGGTCCAGAATAGGGGAGGCGGAATCGGAGGATAGGGTAAAGCGGAGAAGGCGAAACGGATGATATATTTATTGAATTTTATTTTATTAGCGTTTGTTTGTGTGTAATTACCCCTTTACCCTTGTTGTTACTATAACAACACTTAGGGTGTTGTTATTCTATCCGGGCTCTGCAATCTCATTCCAGTCACGGAGACTTAATTCCAAAACAACATCTAAATTGGAAACTTGATACATATCTTGATTACATGCAAGTGTTTGGAAATTCAAGCAAGTACCTTGATAATTAAATTAGGTTAATTAAGCATAATATTTCCTCAAAATTACACCCATCGGGTTAATCTTACAATTGCGACGACCAAGAAACATGATATTATTGCAACAATACTAGGCTGGTCATGAAACGAGATGAAAAATATGTGTTGTTTACATTCCAAATAATTCAAAAAATTTAACTTCAAATTGTTGAAAAATATTTTAAAAACTAATTGTTTGGTAAATGTTATTGTTGACATATAATGACATTAACTTTGCATCAAATGACATATTTGTCTAAGAGCTTGTATATATCTACGGTTTATAGAGATCTAAATTCTCAGTACCTAAAATCAATAATATAAAAAAAACAAAAAATACAACTTTCTGCCGAATTGATAGATTTTATAAATTTAAACTCTCTAAATCACTCCTAAGCTGATTGTCTACTTTGAATCAAATCAGAGCAACTTCCCTTATACATGCCGAGCAATTTCTCGTAGCTAGGAATCGATGTAGAAAAACAAGTGGTCCAAGGCTGCAGCACCATCCAGCGGCCAAGAAAAGTAGATCGCCTCTGATCGGCAACAAGCCCCAATTTAATCGTCCTCAAATTGCACGAAAAAACAAGAGTCTCTTCGATCGATGTCTTTGAAAAACGGCTTCCCACAATAACGGAACTTACTTTCCGTCTCTTTGAAATTCGCGGGTTCGCAATAACATTCCAGGAACAATGCTCTGAATGCTGAGCGAGCACAGAAACGATTTGTAGCTTCTCAATTCCAGGCCCGCCGTCGTTGCGCTTTAGCTTCTCCAACGAAGCTTCTGTCAGAAATATATTTATTTGGGATTTTTATTATTATATTAGGTAGGATAATTATTATTATGGTTAGTAGAGATTTAGTCCAATTAGGTTATTCGTTAGGGTTTTCCAGTATTTCCTATATATATGTACTTTGGGTTTACGTCATAATCAATCAAGAAGAATATTAAGCAAAGTCTCCTAAACCCTAATCTCTCCTCTCAACTCCTAATTTCTCGTCTCATCCTAGTCCAAGGCCTCGGCCGATTCCCAATTCTATTCTATCTCACCTAAATCCCTAATTCTTTCTCTCTCAAACCCTAAATCCCTAATTGCCACGAGTGCCGAAGATCAGTATCGAGAATCCCTAGAAGCGTGGTTCTCACAATTGGTATCAGAGCCTGGTTTCCTAGTCCAAGGCTTCGGCCGATTCTCGATTCTATTCTATCTCATCTAAATCCCTAATTCTTTCTCTCAAACCCTAAATCCCTAATTGTCACGAGTGCCGAAGATCAGTGTCGAGAATCCCTAGAAGCGAGGTTCTCACAATTGGTATCAGAGCCCGGTTGTGGCACTCGTACCAGAGCTCCGGTTGCGAATATGAGTTTATCACAACTCTCAACCGGGGATGAACGCATCTATGAAGACTTCGAGCCAAACATCTGCAAACAGGAATATCCGCATCGCATCAAGCTATTCTTTTCCTTGCCTGGGTTCGAGGCTAAGCACCTAGATGTACAAAGAATTGAATCAAATGTGCTAACAATTACAGTAGAGCGTTCGTTGGGTTACGAACGCAGATGGATCCTTTTCGGAAAACAAATCGAATTCGGAGAAATCTACAATGTCTCACAATGTCGCGCTAGCTTCAGAGATGGCAGTTTCACCATCAAGGTTCCGAAAATCATCATCTCGCAGGATACGCGGAAATCGTTGATTGAGGAAGAAGAAGTCACCGCAGAGGCTTCAAACTCCTTCGCTAAGTCGTCACCAACCACCACCGATGTTGTCCCAACATCAATTCAGGTTGCTCCCAGACCCACGCCAGCCCAATTGAATCCTCCAATCGACTGGTGGAAATTCAGAAAGAAGAGGAGCACGGGCGCAGTCCCTGTTTCTCTCCCGACGATCAAGACGGCGGATCAAGAAGCACAGGGGTGTTTGGCGGAAGGAAAGGAGGAGGTAGCGGCAAAACTCTCGGGGGGCTCGTCGACGTCGCCAATCACGCAAGCCACTCGACGATCGGTGACTGGTCCCCGAGTGGTGACGACGTACTCGTCGCCGCAGGAAACGGAGTTGAAGACGACGGCGGATCTGAGCTGGTCGCCGTGCCCAGGGCTAGGCGGGACTCCGCCGAGAAAGGAGACGACCAACAACGAGTCGCAGTCGGCGGAAAAGCGGGCGACGAGGACGTCGAAGCTGCCGATAGGGAAGAAGTTGAGGGCGGCGGCGGGTTTGCAGGCGATGTTGGAGTCGGGTCGGCGGAATGGCGAGTCGCCGAAGAAGAAGGTGAGCGGCGTGGCCGCGGAATCTACTCCCCGTCGCTTGACGAACTTCTCGCCGCTGAAGAGCGAGGTGAAGAGAGAGTTGGTGGAGAAGGATTCGGCCGCGACTCTCGTCGTGTCGTCGATCAACAGGGAGAGGGGTCGGAGGACGGAGGCCGAAGCGCGGCAGCAGCCTCGCCGTCGGATCGTTTGCGCGTCGCCGGAGAATGAGGCGAAGGGTTCGCCGAGGAAGGAGCTCTTGGGCGGCGGCAGGTTTCCTTCTTTGGCAACCCTAGGCGGCCGAAGAGTGGGGTGGGTTGGGCACCCATCGGGCCGAGAGTTCCAGGCCGAGTGGGCCGTGAGGCCAATGAAAGTGGACCAGACCAGCCCGCACCCATGGGTGGAGTTTGTTGGGCTTGGATGGGTTTCGCATAGGCTCTCCCTGGGCCGAGTTTCAGTGGGCTATTTTGTAAGATTTGTCTTGCAGGGACAGAACTGGAGAGAAGAAGAATGTGGGCTAGTGGGATTAAGTGGTGGGCTGAACAAGAAAGAATTCAGCTGGCATAAAGAGAAAGATGGGCCGAGTTTTAAGAGAGAACTTGGGCCTCCGTTGGGCTGTCTGATTTGTTCTCTTTGGTTGGAGCAAGGCTTGAAGGAAAAGAATAAAGAAGGCAAAGTGAGCTCAACAAGTGGGCCTTCAGGAGAGACAAGCCCAAACATAGTTAGAAGGAGGAAGAGTTCAAAAGAGCTTGACTTTGGTTTGGGTCACCATTCTTTTTTTAAAGCCAATATGGGCCGAACCGAAGGAGAAGAAAAAGAAGGTTGGGAGCAGTTATGGCTCGTCCTGGCTAACGAGCAAATGATGGAATTTAAGGATCATTTCCTTGAAGACCACAAGCTAGAGCATAATGAAGAAGAATATTAAGCAAAGTCTCCTAAACCCTAAACTCTCCTCTCAACTCCTAATTTCTCGTCTCATCCTAGTCCAAGGCTTCGGCCGATTCTCGATTCTATTCTATCTCATCTAAATCCCTAATTCTTTCTCTCAAACCCTAAATCCCTAATTGTCACGAGTGCCGAAGATCAGTGTCAATCACAATCCCTAATTCTTCTCACAATCCGGCCATCCCACCGCCGAGGAAACCACCAGACTGTCGATCATCGTCAATCATGGGTTCAAGCCGTGGGAGGGACTCGCCGGAGCTCTGGATCGCGTCGTTGAAGAACGAGTCGAAGAGGAAGGTCGTAGGCTCGCGATTGGCTTTCCGTCGCAGGATGGAAGTCTTGCCGGAGAGGAGAATGGCGCGAAGGGTGCAGCAATGCGCTGCGGTTGGCTTCGTGGCGAGGTCGGAATTGGGCTCGTCTAACCGCCGTCACAAGGGCTGGTCGGCGAAGAAGAAGCAGAGGGTTTCGGTGAAGCTGGCGTCGACAGAGAAGAAGGCGAAGGGGTCGCCGGCGGGTGAGCAGAAGGAAGCGAAGGCGGCTCCCCTCGTGTCGTCGATCAGCAGGGAGAGGGAAGGATGGACGAAGCTGGTTCGGCGGGTCGGAGCGCTAACGGAGGAGGGGTCGAAGCCTGAGGACGGGGCAAAGCTGAGGACCCCTTCAGATCGGAGCTGGCCGCCGTGCCGTCGGCGGGCGGTCGCGTCGCCGGTGAAGGGAAGGAAGAAGAAGGAGCGCGGCGTCGGCATCCTCTGTCCGTCATCGAAGACGACATCGGCGGCGGCCCGAATCGTGCAGATGCCGCGATCTACTATCGAGGCGACGACGGAGCTGAAGGCGGCGGCGGCGTCGGCGACGGGCTGGCCTGGTAGTCGTCGAGCATTGCCTCCGGAGAAGGTGACTGGGACGAAGATGGCGTCGTTGGGAGAAAGAGTGGCAGGGAAGGAGACGAAGGAGAGCGGCCGCTCCCTCCCTCTCTCGGCCAAGGATGGAGGCGGGCGAACCCTAGGCCGTGCGGGTCGAGCCGCAAATCGTAACGGGCCGGAGCTTGGCTTGGAGAGCGTCGGGCTCGTCTTGGATTGGGCCGACTCCTCGTGGGGGCCAGTTTTTGGACCAAGAATTTTGGGCTGTAGGGGTGAGTGTATCTTCTATGGTGAGTTGAACAAAAGAGAGGGAAGCTGGTTACAAGAGGATGGTGGGCCGAAAATCTCAGGAGACCCTTGGGCCATAATGGGCTGTTTTGTTGCATCTAATGGGTGGAGATCGAATGGGACGGAAGAAGACCGTGGGCTTATTGGTTTAAAACATGGGCTACCAAGAGGGTTTAACCCAAACTTATTTGGAGGTGTATGGAGCCCAAAAGAGGTTGTCTTCAATACCAAGTCCACGACGGAGTCGATGGAACGGGCCATTGAAGCTTTCAAGGTGGTTTATGAGAATGGACTCAAGGAAGAACAATTCTCCTATTCTTATTTTGTGGACTTCGAAAAGGATGGAGAAGAATTGTGTGGTTATGGAAAACATGACATGTGTCACGTGGAGAGACAAGAGATGAGGAAAGTGGGAGTTGCGCGAGAAGAGTTCTTTCAAGGGATCGAGCGCAATTGGAAACGAAGAAAGCGGAAGGTAAAGGAGGTAGAAGTCAACTACAACCTTGAGGTCAAGGTTGGTCTCAAGGGGGATGGATTGTCAGAAATATATTTATTTGGGATTTTTATTATTATATTAGGTAGGATAATTATTATTATGGTTAGTAGAGATTTAGTCCAATTAGGTTATTCGTTAGGGTTTTCCAGTATTTCCTATATATATGTACTTTGGGTTTACGTCATAATCAATCAAGAAGAATATTAAGCAAAGTCTCCTAAACCCTAATCTCTCCTCTCAACTCCTAATTTCTCGTCTCATCCTAGTCCAAGGCCTCGGCCGATTCCCAATTCTATTCTATCTCACCTAAATCCCTAATTCTTTCTCTCTCAAACCCTAAATCCCTAATTGCCATGAGTGCCGAAGATCAGTATCGAGAATCCCTAGAAGCGTGGTTCTCACAGCTTCATAGCATAGAATGATAGAATTCATGTTTTGCGCCCTCCTTCCCACCTCCAAACCATGAAAACTTCGTCGTTACCGGCCTCACCGTACTGTTGATCGTGTTCCAACGAATTGGGAAACCTGATGTCGCCTGCCAACGAATTCCATATTACGCATAGTGATTGGATTTTTATTTTAGCGGAAAGGATTGAACCTCTCAATTTCTCTACCATAGTTGATCAAATACAATTTACCATCCAAAGACGTTGCGTTAGGTTGAATAAGAAAATCTGTAATGTTGGTCGACCCTTCTCCGGACTCGGAACAAAACACGCGCAGTTCTGAACCCCATTCATACACAGGATCTCCTTCGTATCGAACCAGAACACGAAATCGATAGTAGGGGTACCTAAATACTTGGCCATCCCCCAGATCCAAACTATTAACGTTTCGAACTCTTCGACAGATCAATTCTGCTTCCTTCGTTTCGTAGGACCTGTACCCTGGCGTTTCGGGCTCTAGAGGAAGGGCGACCCATTGCTTCGTAAACGGATTGCAGATCAAGAGCGATCGGCCCCTTTCGTGATTGTAGTCCCACACTGAATTCTGAAACACGCACAAAATCAAGTCCTTGAAGGAATCCCAAACGACGAAGCTGGATCGGAATTCGTCGGGGACGGGGAGGAAGCTTAGGAGTGAAGGCAGTTGGTCGTCCTTGCAGAGGAGGAGTGGTGGCTGGCCGTCGTTCCTGCTCCGGTGGTGAGAAACAAAATGGCGGTTGAAGCCAATGTGGGAGATGAGTGAGTTCCATCGCTTGCATACTAGTTTGCTCCGGCAGGCGGATCTGGGATTCAGGAAGTTGCGCGCGAATCAGAATTTCTTCCACGAGATCGTCTCCCAGTTTGCTGATGGGAGCGTCTGCCGCCATTGATGTTCCGATCCTTATGATTGAACCAGTATCTATCTGCTGTCGTGGGAGTAAGGAGGACTAACCCTCTTTATTTATAGTCCTAAAACCCTACTTAAAATAAACTTTCTTCCATGGTGGATAATTTTCAAGCTTTTCCTTTTCCCCCAAGTATATGGATCTTCCCCTTTAGTTCATGCATTCTATTAGATATTCGATTTTGTCTACGATAATAGGAATTTTTTATGAATCATTAATCATGATTAGCTAGCTTCGATAAAAGTAGTGTGGGTAAACAAGTTAGCATATATAATTTCTTAGGTAGTAAACGGTTGGTTCCCAATACAAAATTTTAGCTAATTAGTAATTGGCGGTTAGACGGTTAACCAACTAATCGATTACAATTAGTTAGGGTCAAACATAATATGTCTCAATGAGGCGAATGAATAGGCAAAAAAAAATTGATGAGATGTTTGAAGGCCTACAAGATTCCTTGCGTACCCTAGTTGTAATAGTGACTTATGTTCAAATGAAAATAAATTCAAGGAAGGATATTAGAGGAGCAGAGTAGAAAGTTGAATTTGTGCACAGTAGCTCAATAACAATCAGTAACATTTGACCTTTCGTGTAATTTTGTAGGGTTTATGAATTGAGTAATTGTTATTGTATCTCTTATTCTGGTCTATTTCTTATCAAATTTGATGGTAGAATAGTGTTATTGTGTACTTGTGTTGGATTGAGTTGATTATGGATTGATACAATGTTAAATTGTTTTTATTCAATGATAACAACTAAAAAAAACACATACGTATGGAGGGAAAAAATCTACAAAAAATGCACAAAGTGCTTAATAGTTAATTGGGTTAATTGCATGGTTGGTCACTGAGATTACAAAAAACGTTCATGTTTGGTCACTGAAAATATTTAAATCCAATCTTAGTCACTCAAATTAGTTAAATGGTTCAAGTTTGGTCACTCTCCGTCCAACTCCGTTAAATATGTCTGATGTGGCAGTCAACTCTCAAAGTTGACCGTTAACTCGGTGACGTGGCAATTAAAAAATAATAAATAAAATAAATTTTAATCTTCTACCATTTCCAACTCATTTTTCACAATAAAGTAAAATAAAAAAATAAAAAAATAATTATAAATGGCTTCTACCGTTTGATCACACGCCCTCACCGCCTTCCTTCTCGCCTCCAATCCGGCTTCAGCCTCCTCCTCCGCCACCGACGAAGACGAGGACCTCACCTTCCTCGAAGACGACTCGTCCTCCTCCTCTCCCAATTGGCAAAAACCCTCCTAGTCCTAGAGTCCTAAACTAAACTCGCTCTCTCCAGGTCCAGGGGGATCAATCGAATTTCCAAACCCTAAACTAAAAGGCCATTGTTTTTTTGCGGCGGGTGAATGGCGTGGTCGTCTATAGTGAAACTGAGGGTTCCGATCCCAAACTCGCTGGCGGCACTGCTACGCCGCTGCAGTTCTTCGGCTGCAGGAGAAACTGGCTTTGGTAAACAAATCGAAAATCATGAACCCTTCGCTCTTGCGCCTCCAAATCCTATACCTAATAGGCCTCTGAGACGCGAGAGACCCTTCCAGTCCTGCTCCGCCGCCCCTCCGCCGCCGCGAGCTTCTCACTTCCCCCAAAATCATAATAATGCGCAGCCACGGACGAGGACGGACAGGGATGTTAATTCCAATCGTGACGATCACATCTCCGATGCTGCCTTCCTCGACAGATTCAAGCTCCAGCCTCGTCACGACCAGCCCGACGGCGGGGATCCCCAAACCCACTCTCCTACTACGGCAGCAGCTCCGCCTCCACCAAAAGAGGGCGGTGGCGATGAAATCGTCCACCTTCCTCGAAGACGACTCGTCCTCCTCATTCATGATCGGAATCGGGGTAGTGCTGGGCGGGGGATGAGGAGGAGGACGAGTCGTCTTCGAGGAAGGTGAGGTCCTCGTCGTCGTCGTCGGTGGCGGAGGAGGAGGCTGAAGCCGGATTGGAGGCGAGAAGGAAGGCGGTGAGGGCGTGTGACCAAACGGTAGAAGCCATTTATAATTATTTTTTTATTTTTTTATTTTACTTTATTGTGAAAAATGAGTTGGAAATGGTAGAAGATTAAAATTTATTTTATTTATTATTTTTTAATTGCCACGTCACCGAGTTAACGGTCAACTTTGAGAGTTGACTGCCACATCAGACATATTTAACGGAGTTGGACGGAGAGTGACCAAACTTGAACCATTTAACTAATTTGAGTGACCAAGATTGGATTTAAATATTTTCAGTGACCAAACATGAACGTTTTTTGTAATCTCAGTGACCAACCATGCAATTAACCCATAGTTAATTGATAACCAACTAGCTAAATGGTTCTGGTTATAATCGAACCGAACTGATTGTCATCCCTAGATAAAAAGTATTATTTGTTATATAATTGTGAGTAATGTATGTGGAAAGTCAAAGTTAATGTGTCAACTATCAAGTATGTTGTATGGAAAATAAGGAAGGTCCCAATACTCCACATATTGACCATATGTAAATTTTAATGAACCAGTTAGCGACATTTCACCACTATCATAACCCATGTGTTATAAACGCGCAGATACGGATCGGGAAATCGCCAGAGTTGAGAAAGCAAGAATCGAAAACACGACACATGATTTACGTGGTTCACTAACACGATGTGTGTTAGCTAGTCCACGGGCGAGAGAGAGCCAGTTTCACTATATCGAGGAGATTACAGATTACTGAGGAGATGAGAAGTATTTATACTTCTCCATGTGTGTCTAAACCTAATCTAATCTGGCAAAGGAAACGGTTGCAGACCAGGCCCATAACCCGAACCCAAATAACATTGAGCCCATACATCGCGGGCCGGGGGCGTTGCCCCTGAACCCCACTCGTTGATCGGTTAGCGAGACTCCCACTATTTCAGTCGTAGAGGCTAATAGTCCGATTCAAGTCACATCAACACCATGGATTATTCTATTACAAAGAATGTCATGGATGATATCGTGGATTTGGTACAAATCTCTTACAGGAAACTCTATCAAATTTTATTGTCTTAATTTTGATTTCCAAAATGTGTAAGAACTAAAGCATGGAATGAAGAGTAGCTCATGAAACATGCTTGGGTAGCTCATGGAAAAAAAAAATGGACCATATGCGAGATGAAGTGTAGTAATGACTGTCGCAATGATGAGGTAGTCAAATCGGACTGAAAAATCTAAAGTTTGCAACAACAATCGGAGGCAAAGAACTTCATTAACTGGGTTTGCCATATATGCTACTTCAACAGAAGACCGAGCAACAACCTCTTGCCTATTAGTACACCACGAAATTGGTGTGTCGCCCAAATTGATGAAGTAACACACACTATAACAAATAATGGGGAACGGATCAGGTCAGTAACTTTATGGTGAGTAACTATGAGTAACCCGTCCACATCAGCATGATATCAGCATCATCTCTCTCCTAGAAAGCCTTTAATTTTCCCCTCCTTAATCTTTGACGAACAATTTCTTACTCATTTTAAGTCGAAATTTAATTTTTTTTGCACAGTTAGATCAGATTAATTGTGCTCTTCAAAATGATATCCACTTCGATATTTTTTGAACAAAAAAAATTGAGCCATTTTTTACCAGTCTATACCATATGGTATTGACTGATATTGAAATAAGAGCATACCTATGGTTTGAAAAGCGTACCATGGTGGTATGACACAAACAAAAAATGTAGGATGATTGAATACATGATAGTAGAAGTATATTAATTGTCATTTACGACTTTTAACATTGTATACCATAAGATACCACCTGGTACCAGGGTGGTATTGTATGGTATTGTGTGGTATTTTTTGGTTTTGTAATTTGTTCACCCAGAAATTTGTAGATCCAATAGATTATGATGAACTCGTACCAGCTGTGCAAACGTTTTCAAAAATGAATTAAAAACGAAGAAGATACCATATAGTATGCAGTTGGTACCGAGAGGCCATAATTTTTTTTCTCAAAAAATATTGAAAATTGATCTCATTTTGTAGAGCACGATGAACTCGTTCCATCTGTGAAAAAAAAAAAATTAAAATCCAAGTTAAAGTGAAAAAGATATGAGTCAATTAAGAAAGCTAAGGAAAATAAAAATAGCATTTAGTTCTCCATCTTTAGATCTGAATTTTTTAAATGAAGGGTCTAGATTTGGTTATTGATGGGTGCATAACTCATGGTTATGCAACCTATCTTGAGCCCAAATAATGACTATGGTGACAAAAATCAGCAAACCATTTAATGTGACAAACACAAACATTGTCATTATAACCTACACTGTTTTGTTGTGACAAATTGTAACTTTATCATAATTATTTGTCACAACAAATATGAGAGGAGAGAGAGTTAGGGCCGGGTTATACGTCTTGGCTATTTTTTATTTTCTTAGTTTTTTTATTTCACTTTTTAGGTGACATGGCAAATTAATCCACGTCAGACGACACTACATCGACCAACATATTGATTGTGGATCATTAACGGTAAAGTCAATAAAAACTAAACATCGGGACACAGTTGACAGGTCGAAAACATAAGATATAATTGACACGAACCCTAAACTATAGGCCATTTCTTGGTACTAAGCCTTATTTATTATAATAAGATTGAGATTATTGTGTCATCTAACGAGTTGTTTAATATGCTACCTCTATAATTTATGATCTTTTTGCTTCATCGATAAAACCAATATATGATTATAAGCTAATTATGATTTCAAATAATTAATAATAGTAAAAATAACTTGGTCAATGGTCGAGAACAAAGCTAATCTGGTTGATAATGGTATTTCGTACAATAAACCATAGGATAGTGATGAGAAAAAATCAATTTCAGAAAAAAAGTTTTTTTGTTTTCTCTCTGAAATTTAGGGTTTTCGCGGGGGCGAGCCGATGGCCGCCGTGTAGGGTGCGCCGGCCAATTGGGCGCAGCTGTTCGGCGTGGGGGAACCTAATCGGTTGCAGTACGTAGCTCCGGAGATTGTTGATGGGTCGCTAGTCATTCCGCGGGCAGTGAGGGATCAGGGGGCAGCTCGTTGGAAGCACGCTCTGGTCGGGCAGTTTCTCTCGCCGGCGCCGGAAATTGGTCTTCTGCGGCGTTGGGCTCGTCGGTTTTGGGGGCGCGATGGTCGCATCTCAATCTCTCATTTTGGCGAGCAAATGTTTCTCTTTCAGTTCTCGGATCCGGCCACTAGCACTTGGGTTTTTGAGAATGGTCCGTGGCATTACGACAATAACCCTCTATTTCTCCGTCGCTGGGTTCCAGGTATCCAAGCTGTTAGAATGAGTCTGAATGCACTCCCGATCTGGGTTCGGATTAGTGGGCTGCCGCTTGAGTATAGTACTGAGGAAGGCTTGAGCAGGATTGCTAGTCTAATTGGAAAGCCGCTTTGGATGGATCAAGCAACTCTGAATGGGGCTCAGGCGGGTGTCGCGAGGGTTTGTGTGGAGATTTCTGCTGAGTATGACTTCCCTGATGCCATCAGTGTCACACCGGAAGGGGATATTCCAATGTCTTTGGGCATTAGATATCTTCATGTTCCATCAGTGTGTAAGCAGTGTAAAGAGTTTGGTCACTGTGAGGGTCAGGGCAAGGAATGCAAGGTTGTGAAGATTGCGGCTAGCAGGGAGTTTGTCAGGGCAGAGGCAATGACAAGTGAGGTAGCCTGGGTTGCAAATGCTAAGCCTATAATGCTAGCGGTTAATGAGGGGAGCTCAGGTAAAGGGGAGGGGTCTGCTGAGGTAGATTCCAATCCAGCAACTGGTTCGCAGGAGGCTGCTACGTCACTTGCAGAGGAACTAGCAATGGTAGTTGGTGGTGTGGGGAATCATGGCTCTCCTGTTGGGCAGTCCACTGTTGAGTTGGAGACTAAAGAAGCTACTCCTTCAAGCACTGAGGCTAGCAGGAAGGAAGTTACTCCTTCCAGCTCTTCCACTGGGTCTGGTAAGTTGATTGATGAGGATGGGTTCCAATTGGTCACAAGGAAAGGGAAGGGGATTATGTATGACACTGTTCTCAAGATCCCAGTCTCTGCTGTTCAGGCTAGAGTCCCTCTTAATGCTCAGGGTCATGCTATGGTTGACAGGGGACCTCCTAAGAAAGGGAGGGGCAGAAAGAACAAATGAAATTGTTGAGTTGGAATCTCAGGGGTTTTAATGCCTCTGAGAAACATAGATATATAAGTAGACAGTTAATAAAGTTAGATATTGATTTAGCAGCTATATTAGAGACTAGAGTACTGGAGAAGAATGCTGAGGACATTATCCAGCGTCATTTTAGTAGCTGGAAGCACTTAGATAATTATGCATATTCAGTTTCAGCGAGGGTCTGGCTTTTTTGGAAGCCAAGTCTAAAGGTTCAGAAAATTCAGATGGGGGAACATTTTATTCAAGTCAGGATAGAAGGGACTACTAACTGTACTGTCACAGCCATATATAGTCCAAACAAAGCAAGTGAAAGAGTGGAATTATATACAGAATTGTTGAAGTGTAAAGTGGTGGGGGAGCCAGGTGTTTACATGGGTGATTTCAATGCCATCATGGATAGTTCAGAGGCTTCAAATACGTCAGTGATGAATTAGGGTGGTCTGGAGTTCAGGGAATGGGCTAAGGAAATGGAACTGACTGACCATAAGATGTTTGGTTCAAATTTTACCTGGTGGAATAAGCAGGCAGCAAATCCAATTGCCAAGAAGCTTGATCGGTTTTTTGTCAATGAGGACTGGTTGGTTTCTTATCCTCAGAGTGTGGCTAAGACTCTAGCCCCTGGAGTATCAGATCATTGTGGTCTGGTCCTTGATATGGAGCCTCAGGTAGGTTCACTTCCGAAGCCGTTTAAATATT